TCCCTTCCTTTGATAATTGATACTGTAATTTGCCTAACATTTGCTTATGCAATTGTTCCTTTTCAGGATAAGGAGAAAAGTAGATCCAGAGCCCATTTATGGATGATGGATTTTGGCCTGACTGAACATATTTGCAGTTTGCATAATAATCTGAAGCCGGCCTGTGTATTATTAGTTGTAACCTCGTTTAGTGCTCCCATGGATGTAAGATGGAGTCATTTCTTGCACAATGCGATCTACACTTGACTTTGGTTGATTGTCTGATCTACAATAGAAGAACTTTTTTGGAACAGGACTCTCTGCAATTGCACCATATAATTAATGATCCGGATGGAATAATCTGAATTTGAGTGGATGGAGTTAATTGTCCAAAACTACCTTCTGTGAGTAAACAAATTTGTTGTATTTTTTGGGGTAAAAAACAAAAAAGCCCCCTGTGGTAAGTCTAATACACAGAAAAGCCCCCTATGGTTTCAAAATATACAACACGATACCTCATGCTTTGAACTAAATTGTAAATGTGACGGAATCCGTTAAATTTAACGGAAATGACTTATTGGAACCTAAAAAAAAATTTTTATACTTAATTTTTATCAAATATACCTATTCTACCCCTTAATCCTCAATTCTCTCTATTTAGAGAATAAAACAAATGATTTTTTTGAGCTGTCTTTTGCTTAATTATATCAGGGTATTTTGGTCATTTTGTCCATTTCCGTTAACTTTAACGGATTCCGTCACCTTTACAATTTAGTTCAAAGCATGAGGGGTCGTGTTGTATATTTTGAAACCATGGGGGGCTTTTCTGTGTATTAGGTTTACCACAGGGGGCTTTTTTGTTTTTTACCCTATTTTTTGTACGTTACTATTCTAATGTCTATACTTACAGTCTTAGTATTTAGATATATTGTGTGTGAGTCTAGTTATAGTCTCCTCAGTGGTACCAGAAGTTACCGACTTTTGGTATTACTGTGGGTTTAAGGTTAGAATTATTCTTGTTCAAATTTGAAAAAATAAAAAAAGATATATTGCGCACACATAATATAGTATAATTGAAATTGACAATTGCAAATGTCTGCAGCAGATTTGTTTCGAATCTGGGTAGAAAAGGAACATCACATAATAGTAAATAGTACACTTGTGGCAGATTGAGGACTATTGTACGATGCATTATTATCACAAAACAAAATATTTAAGTTAGGGTGCCGTTGATAAAACTGTTAAATTACTATATTGATTTTAGAGTCAGAATATGTTAAAGTTACTAAATTGTTAAGTACTAAATTTAATACATTTGAGTGTACATCACATTAAGTAATAAGTGAAAAGCTTAGTTTGTCACTTGTTTTTTGCTATGTTTTCAGACTCAGCTCAAGTATTGACTCTGTTAAACTCAGGGATCAGGAATTAATGGGTTCAATCGGGGATCGATTCGAATGATGTCATAAATATAATTTATTTAAAATTTAAAATATTGTATGTATAATACCTAAGAGCATGTTTATATCAATAAAGGCATATTCATATATATTTGATGTTTCAAATACTTTTAACAAGAAAATACAAAAAAAATTAGAACGATCAAATAGCAGTTTATATTATTCAATGAACATTAACAAGTTTAAAATTAAAATTATGGACTTGATTAAAAATAACACCAACTTTAGGGTAACATTTATAAAGTATGAAATATTTGACGTATATTAATAGTTTTTAATAACTTAGAGGTCAAAACATAATATTCAAAATGCTCTGACCCCTCATCATACTTTCCCATTTCTTCCTCTACTCCTGACGCATTCCATGGGGCACAACTATCGGAGTTTCATTTCATCCTCCTTTCACTCCTGCCATTTTGCAACTCCTTTCTTCTTCTTTTTTTTTTTTTTGTTAATTTCATTTTCATGCTTATTTTGTTAGTTATTCATTCTCAAACTCATGAAATATCAAGCTTTTATCTGTTTTCTGGAACTTTTCTCTTCTCCACGCCCTTTTTTGCACTTTTTGGATCTTTTCTTCTTTTGAATACAAGATCTAAGATTAGATCTTGTTTAAAAAAAGATTAAAGCATTGATTTTTGATGGTTGAATTGAAGTGAAAGAGTGAAAATGGATTTACAGAGGAGGGGAGAGGTCACAAGAATTTGGAGTTAGAGGTAAGGAAGGGAAAAAAAAATTGGGTTATTATCACTTTACTCCCTTAACGTTTGGTGCTACTATCAATTTCCCCCTTAACGTTATCTTTTAGTCACTTTACCTCCAAAACTAACTGTCAAATTTGATGGAGTTTGTTAATTAAAGTGAAAAGACATGTTTAACCTTTAAAATTATAATCACTTTACCCCCATAAAATATAGTCTCATTATCAATTTACCCCATAAAGTTATTTTTTAGACAATTTATCCTACCATTAAACCAATTTAGCAAGTTAAAAAACTTCAGAAGAAAATACCCTCCTCTTTGTATAATAAAAATAATAAAAAAATTAGAGTGACTCTTCTCCTTTTTAGTATCAAGAAAAAAAGTCAAAGTATTAATTGCTTTTTTCTTGGCAATCTTATTAATATTGAAAAAAAATAGAAAGATGGAGAGGGGGAGGGGAAGAGAGAGAGCTCAATTCTTTTTTAAAAATTACAAATAAGAAAGAATTAAATACTTTTATTATTTCACTTTTTTGTTTACGACCAAATTTCAATTCTAATCTCGACAATCTTAAAGTAATACGATAATGTTAGACTTTTCTTTATTTTCTTTTTTTTGCAAAATCTAATTTTTTGTCTCCTTCTTTCCTATCGCTTTTTCTTTTTCTAGTATTAATAAGTGTGAAAAAAAGAAATTTGAGAAACCCCTTTTATTTTTATGTTTTTCGATCTCTTAAAGTGAAAAAAAGGAAGAATAACCATTCCAACTTTTTTATTTTTAATTATATATAAAAAAGGGTAAATATATTTAAAAATTTTTTACCATACTAGTTTGATTAATGATGAGGTAAAATACTTAGAAAATAATGTTAGAAACTAAAGTGATTGTATCACTATAATCCAAACGAATAAAGTGATAATAAAAATGTAGTAATGTTATAAAATAAAAGGGTATTTTTGTCCAAAATTTCTTAATATGTTGAGTTGAATTACTTATGGGGGTAAAGTGACAAAAAGATAACGTTAGGGGGTAAACTGATAGTAGTGATATAGTTTAAGGGGGTAAAGTGATAATAACTCAAAAAAATTCAACAAAAAGGAAGATAAGAAAACTCGATTTTTACTCGTTCTTCCGATTTCCGGTCAAACCTGATTTTTTTACCAAGTTTGATTGAGTTTTTACCACCCTAAGTTTTTAAGATAACTCAGACAGGACACTTGGCCGGTTCTCAATTTAACTGGTTGGTCTAGTCCGAGTTTAAAACATGGGTTTTTTTGGAGTAAATTTTAATTAGAAAATTCAGTACCACTTAATTCGTTCAAATATTTTACTTTTTATTATCAAATACGTCTGAACATCTTAAGATTTAAACCTGTTAAATTTAAAGGGATAATTGCAGAAACCTCCCCTGAGGTTTCTGACATTTGCATTGACCTCCCCTGTAGTTTGAAAAATTACACTGACCTCCCCTGAAGTTACTAATCCTTTGCAAATTCAGTCCAAACGATTAAAATATTGTTTTAGAGAGTGAAATTAGAATTTTTTACCAAATTTGTCCTTTGTACTATATGTCCAATGAATGACAAAATACTACAAATCAATTAACAATTAATAAACTTTAAGGAGTATAGTTTATAGGCAAATATGCATTACCTATTTAAAGTACCGACTCTTTATGGGTATTTTACTTTCAAACATTTAATTTAATACAAATATTTACGCTCAAATACATATTTGTATTTACTTTCAAATATTTAATTTTTGTTAAATACAAAAACTACCAATCTCTCTTTCGTAAAAATATTAATATAACACTTTTTCAATTTTAGTTACAAACATTTATGTATTTAATATAAATTAAATGATTCAAAATAAAATACCCATAAAGAGCTAATACTTTACTCATGTAATGGATGAAAGCCATAAAGAATTAATACTTTATGGGTCATTTTTTTTAAAAAAATATTTAATTTATATTAAATAAATAACCTATCGATTTCCTTTTTGCAAGAATATTACTGTAACACTTTTTGAAATTTACTAACAAACATTGATATATTTATCATAAATTAAATGTTTGAAAGTAAAATATCCGTAAAAAACCGGTACTTTAAATGAGTAATGCGTGTTTGCCTATAAAGAGCCGGTAACTATTTAAAGTACCGGTTCTTTAAGGGTATTTTACTTTTAAACATTTAATTTAATACAAATATTTACACTCAAATATAGATTTGTATTTACTTTCAAATATTTAATTTTTGTTAAATACAAAACCTACCAATCTCTCTTCCGTAAAAATATTAATATAACACTTTTTCAATTTTAGTTACAAACATTTATGTATTTAATATAAATTAAATGATTCAGAATAAAATGCACATAAAGAGCGAATACTTTATTCGTGTAATGGATGAAAGCCATAAAAAATTAATACTTTATGGGCCATTTATTTATTTATTTTTTAAAAATATTTAATTTATATTAAATAAATAGCCTATCGATTTCCTTTTTGCAAGAATATTACTATAACAATATTTTAATTTTACTTACAAATATTGATATATTTATCATAAATTAAATATTTGAAAGTAAAATACTCGTAAAGAACTGGTACTTTAAATGAGTAATGCATGTTTGCCCATAAATTATACTCTTTAAAATTTATTAATTGTTATTGTTAATTGATTTATAGTACTTTGTCATTCATTAGATATGTAGCACAAAGGGTAAATCTGGTACAAAATTCTAATTTCACTCCCTAAAATAATATTTTAATCGTTTGGACTAAATTTGCAAAGGATTAGTAACCTCAGGGGAGGTTTCTGCAATTATCCCAAATTTAAATGATGAATTAGGTTATTCAACGGGGCTTTACATATATCATACCCTCAAAATAAGAAATAAGAATAAAAAAACAAAGAACTGAACATACGTAACAGGATTCTGAGCAGTATCTGAGATGGATGGATGATATGGCAGAAGATAAGAGCTCACTGGATAAAGTTGTACTAATCTCATTTTGCACCATTCGAAGTTTTGAAGGTACGACATAGAGTTTTAGGTACTCGGTTATTGCAAATAGAAAATTAAATGGAGAGATTTACAAATTGAAGGTGCAAAATGAATCCAGGCCACAATTCAGATCTTTTGACCTAACGCGTCATCTTTTCTCCAACTGGAGCCATAGTTACCCCAGAAATCTTTTTAGCAGCATTTGCTTCCCAACCTGAAAACCAAAGTGCAATTAGGGAGAACGGTCCACAAAGGTACAATATTGAGTATGTGGTTAATTAAGATTAGCTTTTGATTGATGTCTGGAGCATTCGAGTTGGTGAAAAGATTATATAATAAATAATTCACACAACATGTACCTCAACTCAAGGCTTAATTCTAACTTCTAATGAGAAAGAATGAGATTATTGAGATCACTAAGATATCAGAGATTTTTTTTTTTCTAATATGAACACTAAAGGCACAAGATAAGCATACAAGAGAACGCCAGATAGATTCGCCTCACCTTTTACTGAAAATGTAATATCAGGCCTACTTGTCCAATAAAATTAGAATTTGAGGTCAATAGGGATACAAAATCACTCAAGTTAATTGAAGAACAATTTTAACACATTGGTAATCTTGCTGTTTAGTGATGCACTCTTTTTTAAGGAAAATAAGAATGTTATAGAACCTGTGACTCTGAAATTACACATCACTGTTAGTCACTGAAATTCCTAAACATATCATTATGCTATCTCTTAATTCCTATACTTTATTTAGGTCTTTAACATCCTGCATCTTAGACACTTTCAGGGGTATTTATCATCCCAAGAGATATAAGTGATCGAGTGAATATATGCATGTAACTCGCCTGTGATGCTACTGGAATCTATTCTTTTACAGAGACTCGCATCTGCAAGTTTCTAAAACACCATCCAAAATTGTTCTAGAATTTAAAATATAGAAAGGAGGAGGACATGGGTAGCAAAATGTTCGTACCAGCAGAAACATCATATCCTTGGAACTGAAGTTCACGGTACTCTTGGCACAAGGCGCAACGCTCGCAACAGAAATGAAGGATACAATCATGGCATGAGCCTCCCATAATACCGTATTGTTGCCTTATCTTGGTGCGATAGCCCATGCTTACAATCAAGGACGCATGATTCAACAGGAGTAGACCTAGCAGACAGAAAATGCACCCCATCTGGCAGCAAGCTATATATCAAAAAAGAAAAAGAAAATTAATGATCAATGCATTTCATATCTGATGATAGCTAGCAAGATTAATGATGAACAACTATAAGAAAAGTTCTTGTTTTGCACTTAACAGGATTGGCCTCTATCCACGATCTCAGCAATCCTCCCAAAGGCAACACAAGGGCACCAGCAGGCAAGGCAACCTGTCAAGCCAAAATGTTTATGAACATGAAGCATGGGTTGCATTATAATAGAACAATTAAGACCCTCAGAAACCTTATAGAATGGTATCTATTGGGCATTTGAATTCTTGGAACTTACAGGAACGGCAATCTTCAGTGCAGCCACAGAGGCCTGTAGACCAATCGTTGTTCCCATTTCCAGAAGCCATGCTTGGAAAAACTAGTAGGGTTGTGGTAGTAATAGGAAACTAAAATTGATTAGCTATTAGCTAGAATCTGTATTGAAACACAAGAGGAACCTCGAGTGCACTTAATTTTGCAGGGAATGCTTCCTTTCATTGGCGTTATATATAGAGTCAGTCTAAAGAGAAAGAATCATTTGTAATCCGCAAAAAAAAAAAAAAAAAAAACATTTGGCTGTACGACAAAACCATTTACAAAATGGGGTCGTTTCAAAAACTCATCAACGTCCTTGCGAAGATTTTAAGGTATGCCCATGAACGTCGGATTGAACATCTACAGCATGTTAAACATACATAGGCCGTTGCAGTCACCGTCACTACCCAGCTTATTTCCCATGGTGACAACATAACATCATGTGCAAAATGACCCCTTCTAGCTGGTGGAACATAATGGAGAGAGCCAATGGAAACTTTACAGCAAGCGATGCGATGGAGATGAAAAGGAAGTGTAATAGAGAGACAATTTTATGTGCATTGAAAGGCACCTGCAATAATGGTATAGACAAGACATCAATCAAGACAAAGAGGATGCAATTAGTGTTGTTAAATCAAATGAGAAGCTTGAAAGCTCGAATGGGCTCGGCTCGATAATGCTCGAACTCGGCTCATTAATTTTAATAAACAAGTCAAGTTCGAGCTAAAAATATGTTCGATTAATTAACGAATTAGGCCAACTCTCGTTTGTTATTCAAGCAGCTCGTTTGGTTCAATAAGAAAGGACATATATGTCATTTCATAAAACTTTTGTGATTGAATTGTGGCATTTATATGAATATCACAAAAATTGACAAAAAAAGCTGTTTGAGATTTTGAGTTTGAGTGAGCTCAAGTCATATGTGATAAACGAGTCGAACTCAAGTCACAAGTCCTATTCATCGAACCGATCTCGAACACATTTCAAGACTCATCCACTTAGTCAAGCGAGTTCAAATCTGGCTTGATAGAGGCACGAGTCAAATTCGAGAATCAAATACTCGACTCAATTCGACTCGATAACAGCACTAGATGAAATCCACTAGCTACGGTGGGTTTCTCACCATTTGTCTTTCCATTTATTTATATTCAAATTACTATATAATTTTTTTGAGAATCATCTGATTATGTTATCTTTTCTCGTTTTGATGGTGAATATTGAAAATCGATATTTGCTTTAAGAATACTTGGGCATTCAATTTGCTTGAAATATTTAAATGCTGAAAAATTCATCACATAACAAAGTTTTGCAATGATTAACCAACGAATAAAATTAAGTCAATTTAATATGAATTTCTGCATATAGTTAACATGAGTGATTGAAGTATATTTTGAACGTTGTTGATTTCAAATTCATTTGTTGTAATGTAATGGAGTGGAGAGAATTTATATCTAATTCAATAATAGAGAGGACCTGAGTCCATGCTAAGAAAAGATTCTGATTTGGACAAGCTACCTACAAAAGTGGATTTGACAAGGGAATGTATACTTGCCACTCATCTATTTGCACAAGCCTCCCTCTTCCACCCACCAATTTATACATATACATACCTTGCTTTTCAGTACGAAAAGCAACAAAGTTAATATCTACGAGAATTCCTTTTGTTTTTCTGGACATACAAATATGTGGAAATGTTGGGTGTCTTCTTGTCATTTCTTGTTGTAACTTTTCTGTGAATCTCTAATGTTGATATGAAGATGTTTGCTATCGTCTATGGTTAACTAGGAACTTGTAATTGTCTAAATGCCTCCAAGGTTTTCTCAAAAAAAAAAAAAAAAAAAAAAGGAAGCACAAAAACTGGAAAGAAACATAACTTAAAAACAAAAATAAAGATTCTCAGTTGATTGCTACTCATGTTTTAGGGATAATTTCAGAAACCTCCCCTAAGGTTTCTGACAATTTCATTGAGCTCTCCTGAAATTTGAAAAATTACACATACCTCCCTTGATTTGATAGTTTTAGTAACAAAACCTTAAAATAATATTGACTTGATCAAATTTTTAAATGAATACCTAGAAATGATCTTGTGTAATGAGTTAAATTTACTTCCCTATAGAATTATAAAATTATCTAATGTAATTATAAGGAAAAGGTGCTGAAATTTTCATGTCCATACCTACTATTATTTGATAAACAACTATAATAATAATTTTATCACTATGATAGGATACTTTTGATGGTATTTTATTATGGATTTATATTTATAAGATAGAAAATAAAACATTGAAATAATTGATTCAGAATTTATGAATTTTTTAGTAGTGAGATTATCATAATTTAGTAGTGATTTTGGGCAATTTCTTTTTGATTTATTGTTAATTTTAATACCAAAAAATAGAAAATAAAGATTAGCAACAAAATCAGGTTACATATAAAACTAAATCATTAAAAAAATCATTAGTTCGACATTTGGTTACAATAGAAACTAGAGATAATAGTGGTAATTTTACAATTGTATTGGCAAGAAATGAAAATAAAAAGGAATAAGAATGAAAAAAATGAAAAAATAATTTTAAAGTCATTCTAAGTATAACCATACTAAACAAAGGAATTTCATCAAATTATTTAAAGGTAATATTGTTATTTTAAATGACAAGAAAGGTATGTGTAATTTTTCAAATTTCAAAAGAGTTCAGTGAAATTGTCAGAAACCTCAAGACTGAAATTATCCCCATGTTTTGATTAGCCCGTATTGACAGAGCAATGACGATGGCATTACGTCATCACCGTAAAAAAATGACGCAAGTAAGTAGTAACTTTGTGGTTAAACGAAGAAGATGAAATTTTTTTTGGGAATTGCAGCTTTAGTCCCCTCGCTTTTACTTTGTTTTTTGTTTTGACCAATGCCGTAACTTGAGTTGTTTTTCTAATTTGACCTCAATACTATGTTGGTAGTAAAATCCATGGTATTAGAAAGGTAAGAAGTTAGTCTAATTAACATTTATATTTGTCATATTAGGTAATAATTAGTTTAATTAGTCTTCCCATCCTTTAGTTAGGACTTGTATAAGCCCAATGTAACTTTTATTTACCAGTATTACTTGCACATGAAAGCTCACTTTCTAATATGCAAATCTTGATTTCTTCTTTTCATCATTTTAATTTGTGAATGCGAAGCATAATATATAAAATTACATTTACATTTACGTGGCAAAATCAAATGTTATTTTAAAGGCCATATATATAATCATGTTTATGCAGTAAAAGTGGTTGATTCACCTAACCGCATTAAATCTTAGCTTTTTTTCCTGAATTGAGACTCTTACAATGATTCAAATCTAATTCATACTTAAGAACACAATGAATGATCAACTTAAATTAGTTAAGTGTGATATACTTTCATTACCGACTCTCTATTTTAACAAGATTCTCTCTAATGTTTTCTTTTATATGGAAATAATAAAGTCCTTAAGAAAAGTAAAATATTAAATGGATTGGTGATGTTTTGATTCACAAGATCTTGCTTTATTTATCTGAATTCATCTAATAAAATATTAAAGTTCTTATTAATTCATATATGACGCATGAAAACTGAATAAGTTTGATTCAAATTACTCTTAAATAAGTAATTTGGATAGCAAAAGAATTTTACAATTACTTATATTTTGTTATTAATTAGCACACTAGACTTCAAATTGATGTTGCACTAGTTTATGGGCTCGAAGCATGCATGAGCTTGCCAAGACGAGTTCCCGGATTCTATAGCTGCGTTGATAATAAGCCTGTACCAATAGCCTGGTTACAATGTGGTCTTTGTCTCAACGACTAGGAAAGCTATAACAATAGCACGAAGCAATGAAGTTTTGAAAAAGAAGCACGAGGAATGTAGTTGAAACAGCCAGATTTTTTTTTTTGGGGTTGTAATTGAAACAGCAAGATATCATACATTACCACAAATTTTTACTTCAATCCTCTTACTTGAAAGAAGATGATAACGTAAAACCGTAGTGCAGTGGAAAAGAATAATATAATCATATATTAACTTTGTTTTATTTCAAGATTAATTGTAGAGCTGTGAAAGCATTTGTTAATAAACACAAATTTTCATTTAAATAAACACACTCACGTTTATTAAACTTTGTTGGTTTGATACAATTTCCTATGTTTATATATAAGAAACTAAAATTTGGGCGTAACTTTGTAAGCACTAAAAACTATTTCTTTTTTGTATGAAAAAATTTGAGTGAATTTGACTGCAGTTATCATCACGGCTAGAAAATCTCCAAGACCATTGGTCACTTATAGAGATTTTCACAGATCGCATCAATAATGGAATCTAAACATATGATTTTTTTTTATGAAAAAGTGATTTATTCTTATCAATTGTTGTTTTGATTTAATGTCCATTAAGTACATAAACTCTTAACTTCAGAGCCTATTCTATCCAATGATCATGGGATGTTCTCAACTGATTTTGATTTTGTGAGGGATGATTTTGTAAAATTGATTCTTAAAAATCAAAATTTTCAAAATAACTCATGTGTTCTCATTTACTGTTAAAAAAAAGTCATTTTAATAATGCATAGCTGTTCTCGAAAAAAGTTAAAAAGATTATTTTGATAATAAGATGACTATATCATCCTTATATGCTATATAAATGAATTTTTGTACTAATTAAATAATTTTAATGTAATTAATTACTTTCTTATGAAGATTAAATGATGGAACAGAAAAACAAGGGACATATAGATGAATCTAGAAGTGAAATAAGAAAAGAAAGAAAATATAAAGAGAGCTCGGATCGAACCGGTAGAGCCCCGCCCTTGCAATTGGGTCGTTAACCAAACTCTACCTTACGTAAATTTGCGTGGGACATAATTTGTGCTAACTCGAAGACTCTCTGAGACTGCGCCCCCCCCCCCCTCCGCCCGCCGCCGCCACAGGCAACACAAAAAAAAATGTAAAGGGACACTTTACAAAGCATCACTCGGTGATATCATAGGAAAAAAATCCAGTAGGCGTGTCCCTAATGATGTACAATTTGAGAACAAAAAGCTTTCTTGCCAAGCTCCAGTTTCTTAATATGCTAATCATCTTGACATAAATAGATAATAGTGAAACCGAAACCAAAATTTGAGAGATGATACCAGTATATAGGAAGGGGCAACTGCACATTTCCCTTGGGTTCCCTGAACCTTTAGAATATGCTAGGTGATTT